TTTGATACAGTTGACCATGACTTGCTCCATATAAAATTGTCCACCTATGGTATAAGAGGGCACTCCCTCAACTACCTCAAGTCATACCTCAGCAACAGAAGCCAATATGTGAACACAAATGGGGCAAGCTCTTCCGCACAGCCAATTACAGTTGGTGTCCACAGGGAAGTGTCCTAGGCCCTCTTCTCTTTCTCATATACATAAATGACCTACCAGATGCATCGCAACTATCTCAAACCCACACTATTTGCAGATGACACTACTACGTCTACTCTCACCCGAACCAGTCACGCTAGCCAATACTGTAAATACCGAATTACAGAAAATATCAACCTGGATGAGGACAAACAAACTTACTCTAAACATTGACAAAACCTACTTACATTCAGTTTGGTAACAGAGCTACAGATGTGTGTCTAAACATAATGATAAATGGATCACCTATCACAAAACTCACAGAGGGAAAATTCTTAGGAATCCACCTTGATAATAGACTCAAATTTCATACACATATACAACAAATTTCCATGAAAATTTCCAAGACCGTAGGCATACTATCGAAGATACGGTACTATGTTCCACAGTCAGCTCTCCTGGCCCTATATCACTCACTTATTTACTCCTATCTCACCTATGGAATTTGTACATGGGGCTCAACAACAATAAACCATCTCAGACTACTAATTACCCAACAAAAGGCTGCAGTCAGAATGATAAGTTCCCACTACAGGCAGCACACTCCACCAATATTCAGAACTCTAAACCTACTCACAATACAAAACATCCATACTTATTACTGCACCTACTACATACATAGAACACTTAACTCTGATATTAACCCTCCTCTCAAACATCTCCTTGCCAACCTCAACAGAACACATGACCATAACACAAGGCACAGATCACTCTTTGATGTTCCTCGTGTCCATCTCACACTATGCAAAAACTCAATGCACATAAAAGGCCCTAAAATCTGTAATTCATTACCTGTGAATATAAAGAAAACACTGTCTGTTTATAAATTCAAGTCTCTTCTCAAAAATCACTTACCCACAACTAAATAAATACTGGATAATTGTATCTCATAAATTGTATCTCATATATGTATCTCATAAATGTCAACCTGTGACCCAGTCAAACTTTGTTACTATTAACTTCATTACCTAACATAATACTCCATTCTAGTGATTACACACAACACAGTAATGACCATATGACCTATCTTTGTAATACTCATTTGTACTAAATTGTTATCTGTTTTACAATAATTTTTGTACCATGAATATATCATTTCTTAGTTAATCTTAAGTTAATTTTAATCCTGCCCATAATGCTCTGCATACAAGTGGCTTTTATGCTGCCCCTTTAAATATATTCTTTTGTTTCTTTTTGTATCATGTTCAGATAAAAAAATAATAAAAAATGTATACCTGTCAGTGGTGACCTGCACCTTGCTCGGGGGTGACCGCCCTTGCTCAGGGTGATGGGGTACCTTGCTCAGTGGTGACCTTCCCTTCTCAGTGGTGATTGTACCTTGCTCAGGGTGAAACCCGCCCTTGCTCAGTGGTGTGTGTACCTTGTCAAATGGTGACATTGGGCCCGCTAGTGGGGATGTGTACCTTGCTCGTGGGTTTATGTTTTACCCTTTCTCAGTGGTGACCTGTACCTTTCTCAGTGGTGGGGTGTGTACCTTTCTCAGTGGTTGGTTTTGTACCTTGCTCAGTGGTGACATTTTTGCCTTGCCCCAGTGATGATGTGTACCTTGCTCAGTGGTGATGGTACCTTTCTCGTGGTGACCTTTTTACCTTGCTCAGTGGTGATGTGTACCTTGCTCAGTGGGGGGATTTTTGTACCCTTTCCCCAGTGGTTGGGCTTTTGCCTTGCTCAGTGGTTTATGTGTACCTTGCTCAGTGGGGACCTGTACCTTGCTCAGTTTGGGGACCTGTACCTTGCTCAGTGGTGACCGTCCTTGCTCAGTGGTGAACCCGTACCTTTCTTCTGTGAAGGGCCCTGTCTAGTGTGTTCTCTGTGTAAATGAATCTGTGCTCCAGTTCCCTTAATTAACAATGAATGCCTTTCCCCCAACCCCCCCAACAGGGCTGTGTAATCCCCCTTTATGATGATGATTTATGATGATGATGAGATGATGATTGGGTTGATGATGATGATGATGATGATGATGATGATGATTTATGATTTAGATAAAAATTAAAAATGTGAAACTGAATCCGATGTCCTCTACTGAGCAAAATCTACCGAAATTAAGGAGGAGTGAGGGTTGGTAAGCTTAAAATACGGGGATTGATGAGGAAAACAAGAGGATTTGTTTGTAATCCTCCGGGTTTTGAATCCACAGGTAAAAAAAAGGGGAAAAAATTTTTTTTTTGGGGAGGGTGGACAGCATGTTACGAAGCTGAAAAATCAAGAGGACAAAAAAAGATTTTAGAAAAAGATGAAGAAAAGGAGATGTGTAGAAACTTCTAACCTTTTCTCTTTGATTACTGGGAACATCACGATGAAGAACAAGGAAGGTAGGAACTTGATTTGTTTGGGACAGTCAGATTAGGGACATAGATAGGGCCTTCTGCTAAAGGGGAATTTTTAGTAGGAGACAGAGGGGTTTTTTTTCCTGGGGCTGGGATGGAGGATATAGCGGGGTTGACCCATGTATAGTAATGGGTTCCCAAATTTTTTTATTGCCCCCAGTGCTGGAGGCAATGTATAGGCAAGTGTAGAAAAATGGGGTTTTTTGTTAGAAGGGGATTGGAAGCAATAGAATTATTAGGAAAAAGGGAGGGAGCCTGTTTTATGGGCATTTTGCCCAGTTGGGGTGTTGGAAATGAATAGTATCTTGCAAACCCGGGTTTAAATGTTTGGGTGGACAAACACTGTAAAGGTTTAATTTCAAAACCATCATGACAACTGGGGGGCCCAAATTTTTTGGGAGCAAGACATGTATGCCAGGGGGTGGGGGTCAATTTATCCAGGGTAGGTGTGGATTTTTTTCGCTAGTTCAGTTGAGGGGTTTTTTTGTTAGGGCTTTAAACTAAGATTAGTTTTAAAGGGATGGGTTTAGGAAGGGAAAAAAAGGGGGTATGGAATTTTTGATTTGGCTTTGGTAGATATATCTTAATAATAAAAACCCTCGAATAAAAAAATTGTAATAATAACAGAAATTCTGTAAAAGAAAAAACAAACAGGGGAAAAAAAGGGGCAGAAGGGGAAAAAATATTAATTATTTTTAACCCCGCTGTTTGAATTTTCAAGAAATTAAAAATTTAAAGATTTATGTTTGGTTTGAATGTGGGGAGAAACTTTTTATTGCAATAACTGAAAAATGGGATAATTTTAAAAAGTGGGGGTTTAACCAAAAAGCCCCAAATTCAAGGGTTTAAGCGTTCCATGTTCCCTGGACAGACTTAAGAAAAAATGGGAGCCATGATATAGAAGGTAAATCCCTGCCCGGTTTGGGATAGAACCCCCGATCAGAGACCCATAAACTCGAGACCGAAGTGTTTAAAAACCTGGGGGCCCGCTTGCCCGGGGGCTAAACGAAATCGATCTCGAGTTTTTTGGGTTCGGGTCGGGGTTTTTATCCCCCCCCGTGATATAGTTTGTTTTCAATTTGTGTCCCTTACGATTTCGTTTAGTCATAGGAGGTAAAATGGATTGAGGGATTGCTTACCAGGAGAAAACAAGTTTGCATTAAAAAGGGGTTTAAAATTTTAATGAAGATGGTCACTAGTGGTTTCCAGGGGATCACTTTTAGAAACCCCGTGTTGTTATAAAATTTTCATTTAAAGACCCTTTAGAAGGATTTTGGGGATGATAAAAAAAAATTTGGGCCCAAAAATTGATTTGATGAAAGATGGCAATGAAATGCAGGAGGTTGGAAAAATTAAAAGTCTTGGTCTGAAAAAAGGGAGATGAAGTTCAAAAGTGGACAGGTGTAAGGCCCCAGTCCCTTTCAATAAAAAAAAAACCCCCGAAGTTATAAATAGGTTTAAGTTGAGCTTGATCACACAGTGTGTGAAAAAATTGGGGGTCTGGTGAGCAGAAATCTGAAGCCAAGACAGCAGTGCCCAAATGTGCCCCAATTAGGCAAAAAGATTAAATTTGGATTTATTTCAAAGTATAAGTAAAAGGGTCCAAAAGTTATTTTACAGCTCAATTATCAAAGGCCCCATTTGGATTTTGCCCCCCTCAGTTTTGGTCTCCTTACTACATGATAGATATAAAATTCATTTAGGAATTTTACCGGAAGGGAAAGACTAAAAAGATTCACTGTATAAAGGGAAA